ATGTAAAAATATATTTTCATTGGATTGAGAAAAATCGAATAGAGAAAATCTGACAGACAAAAATTAAGAAATATATTTTTAATTTCCTATTAAATAATAGGAAATATTGTGTTTCATTTGTAAAACATTTTACAGAATAAAATAATCAATTTTTTTTATTATACTTACTAGAGGAACTATAAATTAGATTCTGATAATTTTGAGGGGGAATCAAACTGGTAAACAGTATCAAAATATTAAAACAAATTTTGTTTTTCTTAATTGCATAATTCTAAAAAGATCACATTATATACAAAAATCAGAAGACAAAATTGGCAAAAAATAAAGTGTAAAAAAACTTCCGGTTGTTTTTATAAACAATAAAAGAGCTGTGGCACCTAGGTGGCTCAGTCTGTTGAGTATCAATCTCTTGATTTTGGCTCAGGTCATGATCCTAAGGTCCTAGGATTGAACCTCTTGTTGGGCACCACGCTCAGTGGGAGTCTGCTTGAGGATTCTCTCTCTCCCTTTGCTCCATCCCCCAGTCTTTCTCAATCTCTCTCTCTCTCTAAAATAAATAAATACATCTTTAAAAAAAAAAGTAAAAGAGCTAAGTAAATAAGATGCTAGTAGCCATTACAATTTTTATTTTTGAAAAAAAATTAATGGCATAGGTAAAAATATATCCATTTTTAAACTGTGGAGAAATCTGTCCAAAAAGAAATGTTCTGGAAGGATATATAATAAGATATAAAAGAGGTGGCTCATTGGTGTTCTGCTTCTTTATACTTTTAGATACTTGTCACATTTATTTAGTGATGCATATATTTGTTACCTTACATTTTCAGAAATAAATTTAAAGTCACTCCTTTCAAATATATTTCTCATTTAATATGTTAGCACTTCATGAGTTAAACAAAACGGAATAATTTTCCTTCCCACAGATGAGAAGAATGTGTTATTTCTCAATTGAAGGAGTTTGAAATAAAATCCAGATCCTCCAAAGAGAGCTTCAATGCTTCTTCTATGATATCATACTAGAAGTTTATAGGAAATAATAAATGTGAACATACTATGAGTTTTTCACAATAAAGGAATAGTAATTATAATCTGAGATATTATTAATAATGCTTAATTTATTTGATCTTCTTTATAAATTTCTAATTCCAGTTGAGAGTAAAATAAATGTATAATATCAGAAAAATGTTAATAAAAAGGGATATCTAAGTAAGTGAAATGTGTAAAGAATAAAACCCATCATTACATCTATGTTTGATTTATTATGATAGCAAATATTAGAAGAGACTATAAGACTGTTTTGTTTTACCTTAGGAAGATACTGAACATGGTATTCCAAGTAAGAATGAAGAAAGTCATGTCAAGAATTTTAATAATGACTAAATATAAAAGAGTCCATAAGGGTAAGGAAAGTTATAAAGACTTGAGAAATAACTAGTAGGTTTTTAAACAAAGTAATCTATTTTAACTAATGAGAAATTAAAGTAGAAACTAATATCTTGATAATTATTTATTGAGGGTTACTAGAGGGCATAATTAGGGAACTAAAAGTATTAATAAGGTTAAAGTCAGATTGTTCCAGAAGCACACACCACTCTAGCAATTGATGTAGTCTAACTCCTGTGCATCAACACTCTGGCCACATGGGCTCCCTCATTCCCTTGTCTAGGATATATATAGCCAGCACCAGTGAGCTGCTTCAGAGCAGAGAGAGCCAGATTCATCTTTGTATGTGCAGAACCCAGCACATGCTCAACAATGGGTAAGCATGTACATTTGGATTTGTAATCTAAGTCATTTCAATAGCCTGAGCCATATCACCTCAAAAGTTATATATACCAGAAAAATGTATAATACACCCCAAACTAATGATATTATTTGGGAGATTATCTGCACTAACAGATAACTTAAGTTACTGGTTGCCTGTTCCATGAGGTAATGCAGATGCATATTCATGCAGAGCTAACATGTTTGATGAGTTTCAAACTCAGTCATTTCCCAGGCAGTAGCCTCTAAGTCACAAAGTTAAAAGATGATAGCGAGGCAAATAAAATCAACATGTGAGGTTGATTAGTTGCAATAAGCTATTTCTCTCACCTTCGTCTGGGACACAGGTACCAAGAAACATTGCTTAAAGCAAGAATGATGACAAATGGGTACTGATTTTCAGCCTCAGAATCAGGAACACACAAAAAAAGGGATTGGAGTACTGAGCTAAACTTTCAGGCCATTTCTAAATGGTAGCTTCTACTCAACTCCACCTGATGGTGCCAAGTATGAATACATGACCATTGTAGTAAGATCTGAATTTTCAAGAATAAATAAAAATTAATATTTTTACTTAGAACATCTCATTTTTAAAATGTTGGTAATTTTTAAAAATGTAAAACACTGTATATGCCAAAACCCCCACAACTACAGGGCATGTCTGACACACAAGCTCCTGGTTTATGACCTCTGGTTTAACAACTTGATTAATCTACTGTTGCACATATAATTGAGACACTATTGAAAAGTCGTATACTATGACTGCTAAAATGTCAAGGAGAGTTTACTAATTAAAGAAAACCAAACATTCAAGATTATGTGTGAATATTCCATATTCATAACTTCAAAATACCAAGTATTTTACAAACTTCATTTAGTATCAAAATGAAAATATCAAAGCCAGACATTGACAATAGAATAATATCCATAGCCATTATAAATTTTACTTTAAATGTGGTATAACTAAGGTTAAGTCACAAGTTCAAGTTGGTTCTCTATGCATGATTGTATTTCTAAATGATGACTAGCCAATTATAGTCGCTAGAGAGTTCTGTCATAACTGACATTTTAAATGAAGCATTTCACTAAGAAAACTAAAATTTAACCTCATTTTAATCACCTTAGCTATTCAGAATTCTGTTAATCAAGTAGGAGAAAAAAAATTTGTCTTCAACACCTAGAATGATTTATCTGTTTGTACGAATGTGAGAAAAATGATCACATCTTCGAGTAATAGATTACAAGTACAAAGAAAGTTCACATTACAGCTATGCTGATGAAAATTACATGCAGGCTGCTACAACACAGCCCGTGAATTAATTAACCTTTTGCCATAAAAATCTGGAAACTTCAGCAAAGACTGAGGTTTCTCTGTTTCTCTTGTTCCAGCTCCCTCAGCATTTTATTTTATTTTTTATTTTTATTTTTATTTTTTTCCCTCAGCATTTTAGAAAGTAAAATACTGTGCCGTTACTGAGGGAAATAGATAAAAGATACTGAGATTTTATTGGGTCTCCATGTCACTACAGTAAAAACACAAGTTGCGGTCAAAACATAACAAGTTGAATGTTTCCTTTTTTGTTTTAATTAATGAATGATGAGAAATAATGGCTGATTGCTATGTAGATATTTACTTTTGTGAATGAGATCAGAAATTCCTTTTTTTTTTTTTTTGAGGTCAGAAATTCCTAACTATGTTGATAGTTAGTTAGTTATAGTTAGGAATAGTTAGTTAGTTATAGTTAGTTAGTTATAACCATGTTGTAGTTAGAAATTCCTAACTAGTTAATGTTGGCTAACTCTTAATTATCTACCTTTTCACTCTGAGAAAATCAAGAAAATCCTTTTGCGAATGTATTTAAAAAACCAATGCATTTTAAAAAATATGTCTTTTGCCAATGTGATTAAAAATAACTACATCATCTTTCAAACTTCATTCTCAGATGAATAAACACATTATATATGAGTGTAGTAGTCAAGTATTCTGATAATTTTCACGTGGGTTCCGAAGCTGAAAAATCAGGTAACATTAAATGAAGCCATGATCTGTGAAAACAGGATTTCTAATAAACAATGGTATTAAGAGTGACTGTCTTTCCTCAGCTGGTCAAGATCAGCGGTCAATAAGCTTAGTGAATTTGAAGATTACATCAAGATTTAAAGACTATTAAGTTATACTTTAAATGCTGAAATAATAACTTCATGTTTTTATGCAATTATTTGGAGCCACATTTTATTTTTCCTCTTTGATGTAGCAATATCTCCTTAAGAGGATTAACTGTCTCAATATTAACTGTTCTATAACAAAGTTGTTCTCTCCCATGAGCCAATTTTTAGTTTTAATTCATTCATTAGGTAATTAGTCTTGCCAACGGATAAGTCATTATTACTTCAGTAGGTTAGGAGACATCCTTGTTTAGATAACGGGTCACAGATACTGTTTTAGGATGTTAGAGCATTTCTCTATTGTTCAAACTAAATCATGATTTGCCAAATTTATCTTTAAAAAGCAAACCTAGTGATCTCCCTCTCCAATATGTTGTTAGGAAATCAAGTTTTGGTTGCAAGCAAGTGATACATAGTAACATGTTAAAATAAGAAGGTGGTCATTTTATGTAAATAAAGTGAGTAATGCTGATCTAGACAACTAAAGATACAAATGATATTTCTTATTTTGTATTAAGAGCAAACATATTCTATGAATCAATACTCCAAATTAAATAGCTATTTTAGCTAATTTAGATCAAACATTAAATCTGTCATAATTGTTAATACATTAAAATTTTCCAAATGGATCTTTCTTATATAACTATAAGGAAGACAGCTCTTTGAAGTTTGTAAATTTAGAATATCTACCAAAACATTTTTACTTATTTCAATTTTGAGAATATCTCTATTATAAAGCATATACACTTAGGTAAGATACATATTTATTGGAAGCATCAAGGCTGTCACACAGAAAATTCGCAATAAATATATTTTGAATATAAGAATACACAGTTTCAAAAGAAATTTGGCACTTCTGCCAATAATTAAATTTGCCTGTGCTAATTTAAACTAAATTTAATATTGTCATTGATTCTTAGATAATCATGTAAGCAATGATAATGTAAATGTGTATATGAATAAAAAGTACATGCCTTTATAAGACTTAAAAATGAGAGCACAAATTCATAATACTCCTTAATTATTACAGAAATAAACATGCTAGCCTTTGGAAGATATGAGCTACATACCTTACAGGTAATGTTCTATCTCCTTTCCTTCTATCCATTTCTCTTTGGGGAACAGGATACCAACGGAAATTCAGTTTCCAGTTAAAACCCCCATAAGTCATATCTGACCCAGCCATATATTCAAAGGTATCATCACTAATTACATCAATGATAGGGCATACCACTGTTTTCCTGCAGAAAAATCGAAACCAGTTTACATATAAATAATAATTTAAATACTACATTAGCTTCTTCAGATCCAGTATAGATGTTAAATTGAAATTTAATCATTTTGTTACTTTAATATAACTTTATTTTCATTTTATCCTTTTTCTTTATGGAATCATTTCCTTTTACCACATTTCCTTACAGTCTCTACTCCATTCTATCATTTACAATCTAATCAAATACACTAATTGGTCTTCAAGCTGATATCCAAATGTATTCTAAATACTAACTCAGCAGGATGAACATGGTCTATTTTTCATAAAACCTCCACCCACAGCATGATTAGTAGAGCTACTTCGATATTATGCATCATTTTAGCTAGAGCCCACTGAAAAGCAATAGCATGCAGAAATAGTGAATGGATGATGACGAATTAGACCTGGTATTTTGAATCTCAAAGGGTATAGGTTAAAGAGTTCTGAAAAAATTTTCCTGGGGCCAATATCTACTAGAAAAAGTAAACAAGTAAAAATCAAGAAACAGAAGCAACAATTAAAAATCATCATTATCGGTGTAAGTAAATGTTTCCTCTGAAAGATATTAGGGGCATAACAATTTCTAAGTGTGTTGACCTAGACCTCAGAATTAACTATAACAATCTGCATATTTTAAAATAGGGAAAAATAAGCAATTTAAGTTTCTGTGTTGTATCTAAGGATCTATTTCTTCTTAAAGTTAAGAGGGAGAGCCAGGAGAGTGGGTGTTCTTCATGGTGGCTTTTTTAGGATAAGTAACTTCCACAATAGGAGAAGACTGGATATTCTTTTAATCCGTGTTATGCTTTCTCCAGTCTTCCTCTGCTCCTGGCTTATATGTTTTATTTTGAGATATCTGTCATCTCTATAGCAAATGTTCAGGTCTACTCAAGTTTGCATTGCTTGTAGCTAATTCCAAAGAGCAGAGCTTATTTTTCATATCTGATGGGAGGTAAATATACAAATATGCTTTTGAATCACCCAGAAATGTGGAAAGCAAATAGATGTTGTCCATTATTTTATTCTGGTTTTGTAACACCAGTATCACAAATGCTCATTTTCAATTAGGTTTTCTATTCCACACAATTGGCCAAAGCCTAGAGTTCTCAGAAATCAATAGAATTCATCTAGCCTTGGAAAAGTTTCTTGGTAATTCTGGCCCCTACAAAATCAATGTCTTTCTCTCTTTCTTCATTAAATTTAATGACAATTTGTAGGGAAGCAAAATCAGATCTAATAATCTTGAATAGCACTTTATTATTCAGTTATGGCAACTTTAGAATGTATAAGCAGGACAAGACATTAGAATTCATTATATGCAAATACAATCTAAACATATTGCTAGATTAAAAAATAAATGATCTATGCATGATGATATTGAACAACATTATATTAAAAATTCAGTAAGTTGAATATGAAACACATGTTTAAAAAAGCAGCATAATGCATGAAAAGTTGCCAGGAAATGCATTTAAGATGTTCTAAGTTCATTTTACTTTGCTAGTCTTACCCTCCTGTGCATACTGTACAATGCATGGCGTGGAAAAATGTTATTAGCTGTGTCCTACACTCAGTTGACTAAAAGGTTCCCACTGCTTTCTTCAACTGCTATGCTTCATTTTACTGACAACCTCCATCTATCTTCCTGGCAAGTACCAAATCCTGCCGATTACATGATGTAGCTGGAGGAGCTCACACTAAGCAGCCCTTGTCTTGGAAGCTTAATTAAAAACTGCAATTTTAAGAAGACCTTTCTATGGTAAGTGAAATGACTATGCAAACGAGGTGTTATGCAATGCTTTGTTATTGTATCAGAGCATTCAACACAGTTGTCTTCATTAGGTACTTAGGGATTATAATCATTCATCATCAATGTTTAGGAATATCTGTAAGAAAAGCTTGTACTTGATAGCATCATTAGCAGAAAGAATTGCAGGTAAGTATCAGGTTTCTTAATTTCTATAAAGTGCCATTCAATTTTTCAGATTTCACATTCTGTATGTACGAATTGGCAACATTGTTTAAATAATTAAAATTCTAATAGGTGTGCTCTGCTTTTTTTTTTTGTTTGTTTTCGTTTTGTTTTGTCTGTTTTACTGTGATTTCATACAGTGGGATGTGTATGAGTGTGTGTCTTCATTTTTAAGATCCTCTAGGTGGTTTTGAACCAGACTTTGAATAAGGGCAGTGAACACTGGTCTGGGAATGGAAAGAAATATACTGTTGCTCCCAACACTTCTAGTAACTGGGACAAGCTACTTAACTTCTTTATTCCTCTCAATTAAGGTACAGATAAGAACATCTATATTATGTATCTCACAGGGTGGTTGTGGGAACACAATGAGGTGCTTTGAAATGTATTTTATAAAACATGACACTATGTCAAACTGGACTCATTTCTATCACCTACAAAATGAATATTCAACACATTTTTTTCCAGTTTAAATTGTTTGATTATTTCTTAATCAAATATTAATATCCAGCATGAATAAGGCTTTATTAAATGGGGGAGGGGTGCTTTTTAAAAGCTAGAAAATAAACTTCCTAAAAATAGCAATTTATGAAGAAGTTTTGACCGCTACCTAGAACTGTCCTAACAGGTTCAAACCCAGGCAGACATGCATGTATTCTTACCTGTCTTCTTTTATTCTTGCCAGCAAAGGCTCCAGCCATCCTAAGGTGCATTCACAGTGTGCATCGAGAAAAGTTATGACCTGCCCTTTTGAAGCAGCTGCTCCTCGAAGGCGGGCACGTATTAACCCAGAACGTTCTTCCATTCTAATAATTTTTACCGGCACCTCTAAATTTTTCACATAATTCTCTAATGTCAACTTGAGAAAATCTGTAATGCGCAATAAGAATTGATAAAGTTTTTAAACTATTTTAAGACATAGAGACACTCCTGCCCAGATGGAATTCAACACATAGAAATGGTAGCCAGCTCCTATCAACATTATTTGGGATTAGGTGAAATAAATATATAGGGATTTTATCAGTAGTTTAATATATATTTCACGATAACTCTATCAACTTGACTGGCAAAGATAAGGATATAATAGGAAGTTAATATACCAGACTCTAATTTAGAAATTGGGCCACAAGAGCACAAATGAAGACTTATTTATAAGTTATGTTGCTTTTACTGGAACACACACACACACACACACACACACACAGAGAGATAAATGTCCTCGAAGTCGTATTAATGCTCAATCATATAATCATTTAAGTTGGAAAAAAATAAACACTTTTAAAAATCACTTCGGCTGATTTCTTAGGTTAGTACAGACCAAATGGAATCATGAAAGAAACTGAAAGAATTAGTTTCATATTCCTGGAATTGGCATTAACCAGGTATATTGATGAAAATCTGATAGGTGATTTCAGGGCTAGTATAATTATAAGGAAAATACAGATCATTGGCTGGCTATCTTTTCGACCATAATAAAGAGTTCTGATTAAAAAATATATATAGTGGGAAAAATATTTATACCTCTTTCACTAGCATCATCTACCAAGATGACTTCAGAGAGCAGATAACGTGGGGAACGATTTATAACACTATAAACAGTTCTAAGGAGAGTGCTCCAAGCTTCATTGTGAAACACAATGACTACGCTTGTGTTTGGAAGTTCATCAGCGTAGACCTTTGTCTTGCATCTGGAAAAGAAAGAAGAGACACATGCTAATAAATTAATTTTTCATTCTGATCATTGTAATAAAAAATATCCCTGGTAACACAACTTTATACTTGAATGCCCCTTACTAAGGAAACATTTTATGATTATGTAAAATAATTTTCCTTTTAATAAATGTTGTAATTATGTGGCATTTTGAAAATTAAATAGGCATAATTACTAATATTTTATTTTAATTCCCTTTTTTAAATATTTTATTTATTTATTCATGAGACACACAGAGAGAGGCAGAGACACAGGCAGAGGAAGAGCAGGCTCCTTACAGGGAGCCCGATGTGGGATTCGATCCCAGGACTCCAGAGTCACGTCCTGAGCCGGAGGCAGACACTCAAACGCTGAGCCACCCAGGTGTCCCTTATTTTAATTCCTGTAGGGAACAAAGCAGCATGATCTCCACAAGTGTAAGAAAGCCAAAATAACATTCCAAGACTATCAGTAGAAGACCAGGGTACAACAGGGACATAAGAATTCATTTAGTGTATATAACTTAATTCCTTGTTTAGAAAAAAAATAGTATAACTCAAAAAGTCTTAAGAACATGAAAAGACGTGTTCACAGGGTTTTGAAGCATGTAAAACTGAGATTATTTTTCTATTCTAAAATCTAGTCGTGTGTTTTCCATTCTGTTTGAATATGCTATAAACCATGTCTATTTTGAAGGAAGAGTTTAGGGGCTAGGATTTACTTTGCAGATTGGAGGTCAAGAAAGGGTGAAGGCTACCAGCACTTCCCAAACTCTGATGTGCATAGGAATCACCTAGAGATTTGTTAAAATGCAGATTCAGGTTTAGTCAGTCTGAGGTGAACCCTGAGAGCTGCATTTTCAAGAAAAAACTTTTAGGTGAAACAGATGGTACCAGTTGCACAGAGCCCACAATAATTCTCATTACTTTTAGAAATTGATGTTTTGAGAAAAAACTTAGTTTTGCTTATAAATCCAAAGAAGTCCAGATTTTACTTTTCAAGAAATCAAATTAAAAAGGTACATTTGGATAAATGATATATGTAGTGTCCTAGGTGATCATCTCAAGTTTAACAGGCGGATGGTCTTCATCCCCAACAACTTGTCAACATTCAGATATTTAAATCATGTAATTATAAAATTTTATTTTTTTATTTTTTATTTATTTATTTTTTTTTATGATAGTCACACAGAATGAGAGAGAGAGGCAGAGACATAGGCAGAGGGAGAAGCAGGCTCCATGCACCGGGAGCCCGACGTGGGATTCGATCCCGGGTCTCCAGGATCGTGCCCTGGGCCAAAGGCAGGCGCTAAACCGCTGCGCCACCCAGGGATCCCCTAATTATAAAATTTTAGAGAAAAAAAATGTCATTGGGTATCTGGAACAGGAATAGAAGTTTATTCACCTTAGGTTATTGTTTCATATAAAATGTTCTAAAGGACTAGAGAATTAACTCCATAAAATAAAATGAACTAGATACTTGCTACCACTCATGAATGATCTAATGCATGACACAAAATAAGTATTAAAATTAGTCTTCTTCATAGGTGAGTGAAAAAATTCAATAAAATGTGGGGCATAAGGGTATAAAATTAAACAAATACTGATTGTATGCCTATTGAAACATTAATCATCTTTTAAAACAGTCTAAACTATCATCTACTTAGTGAAATCTACAATATAGTCAGGCAAGAAGGTACTGTACCTGAACTACGACATTTTTTCTGTATATATTTATTTGAAAAGCATTCATTAATTATTCACATTATAAAACATATTGTGTATATAGGAAAATCAAAATTTACTGAGAAAAAGTTCTTTGATTCACAGCCATCTTCTCCCATTCTAGTGGCAAGATTCAAACGGGTTCTTATATGCCTCATCAGCATGTGACTTAGGCATCCAAACAGTTTATTACCAAATGGACTCGGCCACCTTCGTGAATCAGACATGTTCTCACCATGATTTTCCTCAAACCTTCATTCTTCTGCCTCAACAAAACAGCATACTGAGCAAAAAGTATGATAAAGACCATCATGATTATTATCAATAAAGAAATAAAACTGGAAAATCAGGCTGAAAGCATCCAACAGTCAACAATTACTGGCTTAACCCAAGGATATAAGGGCTTACCAGTATCGCTGGAAAAAAAGTGATTTATATTTTTTTTGTATGTTATGTATGTATGTATGTATGTTTATGTTTTGTATTCTAAATGCCAATAAAGAAAAAAAATGAATGAGATATTTAGATTTTTTTAAGTCTTTCATTTATTTAAAAGCTGATGTTTAAGGCAAAACAAGTTAACTGGAAGGCAGTAAACACAGAGGGTGATTTGAAGCAATGTGGATGGCTTTGATGGAAACCAGCCAGGTCTTGGTCTCAGGAGTTGAATATGGGGGGAACCTTGGAATTCCATGGGTCCATCCCTTATGTTTTTTTTTTTTCTTTCCTTCAAGGATACTTTTTAAAATTTTATTTGAATGTAATTAATCAACATATAATGTATTATTGGTTTCAGAGGTAGAAGTCAGTGATTACACCCAGTGCTCATCACATCACTCCCTCCTTAACGTCCATCACCCAGTTACCACACCTCCACACACCCCTCCTCTCCAAGGACACTCAGTTCGTTCCCTATGATTAAGGGCCTCAATGGTTTGTCTCCCTCTCTGATTTTGTCTCATTTTATTTTTTCTTCTCTTCCCCTATGAGCAAAATAAATCAATCAAAGAAAGATAATTATTATATGATCTCATTCATACGTGGAATTTAAGAAACAAAACAGAGGATCATACGGGTAGATAAACTTTTTAAAATACCAAACTAAAAGCAATATTCAAATCCAGCTTCGTAAAATACATCTATCATGCTTTGTTTTTGTTAAAAAATCTACTCACAAATGTTAATTTTATATTCAATGTATATGACAATAGATAATGAACTAATTTACTATTAATGCAACTATTATGTTTAGAGAAAATTTCCGCTGTGTCATTATTTAATGTAGCATAAAAATAAAATGTGGTTAATATGTTTATTAATTCTTCCTTTTCTTCCTATGTAAACAATTATTTAGCACAGAAAACTTTGTATGATCATAAAATAATTTCTAGAATAATATCAATTATTTTCAATGTCAGTTTATCCTCCTATCTGCAGTTCATAGAGGCTTATGAACAGGAGTTATTTCCATGGTTTCTAATGGGGTTGTGATACACTGTACTTTTACCATTTTCTGTATTTCATCACATCTACTGTTTCACCTGTAGTAAGATCATCATCTTATGTATTACTAGGAAAGGAAAAAGTGTCAAATAAATCATAGTATATGCTTTCTTATCACTAGAGTCTATTTGATACCTAGATAGAGCTTATGGAACAAGCCTTTAAATTTACTTGGACATAGATTTCTATCAATATTGTCATGCTTGTTTATAAATCAGTCACATCAGCTTTATGTTGCTTTGAAGTTTCTTTCATCTATTCTAAGAGGCTTTTTCTAGCTTTAGGTTGCATTGCTTAACATCTGAGAGGCATACACTAAGCACACATCTCAGTAACAAAATATAAAATGGCTTCATCTTCTTGTGGGCATCTTCCTTCATACTATAAAGTTATGCTTTTCAAATTTTAAGGGGCAAAGAAATTATATGGGCACCTTGATAAAATGCAGATTCTGATTCGGTAGATTTGGGATGGGCCCAAGATATTGCATTCTTTTTTTTTTTTTTTTTTAGGGGGCACAGAAGAAGAGAGAATCTTATGCAGGCTCCATGCCCAGAGCGGAGCTGGACTTAGGATGGACCTCACAACCCTGAGATCTTGACCTGAGCGGAAATCAAGAGTTGTATGATTATCAACTAGCGCAGGTGCCTCAAGATTCTGCATTTCTTTTTTTTTTTCTTTCTTTTTTTTTAAATCATCACTCCTAGTTTCTTTTTTTTTTTTAAGATTATTTATTTATTTATTCATTGAGATACAGAAAGAGAGAGAGGCAGAGACACAGGCAGAGGGAGAAGCAGGCTCCATGCAGAGGGCCTGATGTGGGACTTGATCCAGGGTCTCCAGGATCATTCCCTGGGCTGAAGGCGGTGCTAAACCACTGCACCACCGGGGCTGCCCAAGATTCTGCATTTCTTTTTTTTTTTTAATTTTTTTTTTTAATTTAGATTCTGCATTTCTAATGAGATCTCTGGTGATATTGTTGCCTGGTTGACATGATAAGAAATAAGGCTATATAAATCAGTCAGCTGTTGATTAGCAAGAAAATATAGAGTTGTGGTCACTGCCCCAACAATGAACATTTGCTTCCTCTTAGGAAATTTAACACTTGTCACTGTTTCCTTGCCTTTCTTTTCATGCAATAACTTTTTGTTCCAATATTGAATCAGACTGTAACTTCTCTGAGGGAATGTTGAATGACAATTAACTCTGCACCTGTAGTATAAACAGTGTAGTTAATAACTTAGGTGAAGCAGGACTATGTGAACAGTCATGACCACATTCACACAAGCTTAGGAAATACGGCTTCTATAACAACTGCCAGCTGGTTGACAACGATTCTAACTAACCATCGACTGTAAAACTCATCCTGATTTCAGACGTGTAAAACTAAAAGGGTGCATCTTAGAACAGGTGAATAATGGGATCCCTCGGTGGCGCAGCTGTTTAGCGCCTGCCTTTGGCCCAGGGCGCGATCCTGGAGGCCCAGGATCGAATCCCACGTCGGGCTCCCGGTGCATGGAGCCTGCTTCTCCCTCTGCCTATGTCTCTGCCTCTCTCTCTCTCTGTGTGACTATCATAAATAAATAAAAATTAAAAAAAAGACAATATTTAAAAAAAAAGAACAGGTGAATAAAATAGAATAATTGTAATGATTATTACAATAATTACAACAACAGGTGAATAGAATAATTTCTTGTTTAGCCAAGAAAGAGTACTAAATGGGTTATTTAGGTTTAGTTTTCTTTTTTTTTTTAAGATTTTATTTATTTAT